TTCCTGGCACTGGGCACTCTCCTGGTCCTGCAGCCAAGGGTTGCATTAGCCTGCATGCGCCTGTTCCGCTCCTGTTTGTAAGTGCATTCGATCTGTTCCCGCCTCCCCTCCCTGGAACAGCATGCTCAGTTTTGCCTCTGCCGCCAGAGCTTTCTCTATAATTCACGCCCCGACTAATTCAGGAGGGAAATGCCACCGCGTGCTTTGAGACTGTGGCAGCGGGAGGCGCAGAAAGCCTCTGTCGTCTTGCCATCTTCTTGCCTGGTGCTGTTCTGGCCCAGTGAGCAGAGCCACCGGCGGTGAGGGATCCGGCCCAGTTTTGTCCTGTGGAGTCTCTGGGTGTCTCTGACATCTCTGCAAAAGGAAGTTGCCTCTGGAAACGCAAAAGTGCTTGTTTGCCTCCTCTCATCCTTTGAGACAAAAATGAGGTCAGGAGGAGTGCTGCCACCATGGAGCTGGGCAAGAGAAGCTGAAGCGGGAGGAAAAGGGAAAAAAAAACCTGGTTTTCCCTCCCCTCCCCACCGAAATTTGCTGCCTCCGGGTTACTAAAAACTGCCCTGAGTCCAGTGTTCCATGGGCTTTCTTTTCTCTAATCTCTTTCTCTCTCCTCCTTTTCATTTTCTTTTTTTGTGTTAGAAATATCCAGCACCAATTTCTAACCTCTTGGCAGCAGCGTCATCCAACACTGGGTTCTGTGTGTGGGCACCTTTGCTGCCATACCAGGGCAAACTTGAAGTAGGCTTGATAATCTGGACGGACGGACGGAGCCGTCGCTCAGAGGCCGGGCTGCCCTCTTCTCAAGGCTGCTGCTGGCTGAGGGGTCCTGCTGTTCAGCTCAGTCAAGCAGCCAGTTGCACTCTCATCGAATCATAGAACTGTAGAGCTGGAAGGGACCCCGAGGGTCATTTAGTCCAACCCCCTAAAATGCAGGAATCTCAACTAAAGCATTCATGACAGATGGCTATCCAACCTCTGCTTTAAAAAGTCCAAGGAAAGAATCTTTGACGGTGTGCTGGGCCCGGGGGTAACCCGTGAAACGCAGTCCAGGTCCGGTCCCGAACCCAAAGGTTCTGCTGAGAGACAGTCTGACAGGCCAAGGCAGGAATCCAGGCAAGGACAAGTACAGGATCTCAGGCAGGATCTAGCATACAGCAATATTGCTCCTGCAACCTGGGGTGGGGTCCAACAGCCTTTTATCTTTGTCGGGGTAGCGGCCGGTCCTGATCCCCCAGTGACTCACCTTCCAGTCTCGCCCGAAGGCAAGTACTCCTCCTGCGAGTACTCAGGTCTCTCCTTCTCTCAGACCTCAGTCTCTGCAGCCCGGGAGACGTCGGTGGGTTACTGGACCCAGGGGCCCCCTCAGCCTCCCCTGACCCAACCGGTAGTGGAGCAGCTGTGAGTGATGGCCCAGCTGGAGGCAACGAGGGAATCCCCGCATCTGGAGCCAGGGCAGGATCAGGCCCCTGACCTGGCCCAGCTGGTGTTTGTTGCAGGGGAACCTGTGCAGACTGGGACTCTTCAGGATCAGGCCCCTGACTTGGTTCAAATGATGCCTGAGGCAAAGGATCCGGTGCGGACTGAGTGGTTCCGAGTCCGAGCCCCAGTCCCAGGCCATCACAGACGGATTAGTCTTTGTACCCTTCCATGGGGCAGAGGCAGGGGCTTAGTGATAAGTGTGTGACACCAGCCCCCTTTTGACTATGTTTTCATTTTTATAGGCCTCCATACCAACTGGAGCAAGGAAATAATTCCACACACACACACACACATCCTTCCCTACATCACAGCAGCATTATTTTGCTACAAATTGGAAATTGAAGGCAGCAGAGGACAAAAGCACATTGCCCCCCTCCCTGTTTGTTTGTTTTTAATTCTGCTGCCCTTAGTGCAGTTGCTTCAGCAAGAGATGTGGGACAGCGAGAGGGTCTAGCCTGCGGAAGAAGGGCTTTCTCCCTGCTGCCTGGGATTCTTGCAGACCTTGGGGACCACTGGGGTGGGGGAAGAGAAGGATGTTGTTTGACAAGCACACAGAGTGCAGCGAGATTGAGTGTTTGGGGTGGTGGGGAGGTTCGGTTAATTTCATAGTGTTGCAGGAATTTATGCATAGGTTGGGGGGGGGGTTGCCCCTCCAGCAGATATCCTGCACATGCAGCCCACTACCAAAATCAGCACAATCACTTTTGTGATTTGTCCCCACAAAACACTTCATCACAGTTTCTTCCTATCTATTCAAAGGGGCTTTGCTGCAGCATACCAAATGGAAGAATTCACTGATAAATGTACTGGCTCGCTGGGGAAACTTCAGAAATTCCTATAGACCTGTGAGCTCAGCTCCTCAGCAGCCCCTCTGCCTGAGGGATAATTCCTGGCCTCCTGATACCTGAGTGCCAGACAGGTAGCCATTCCAGGAATAACAAACCCAGATGAAGACAAAAGGGTGGGATGAACTTGGCTGGGAAACAGGGAAATGTAAATATCTCTTTTGTTCCACTTGAGGGGTGTTTGGTGGAGGGCAAGGGGAACCATGGGGCAGGGTCCAGGATGCTCAGATTCCTGCCACCAGACCTCCCCTTTCATGGTGTAACCATGATGTAACATCTGGTGCCCTTGGTTTTTGTCCAAGGGAGCCCTCAGATTTCTCTATTAACAGTTGTACATAGGTTGTTCATTGACAATAAAAGTATTATTATTATTATTATTATTATTATTATTATTATTATTATTGCAAGCTTTGCTGGGTGACAGCTTGAGGCAGCTGCAGAAAAGCAGGTTTCTGGTTGCCTATTGAATGTTCTGAGCCTTGTGTGTTTGGTGGAAACCACAGGATGGAAGAAGGGTGCTCTTATGCTCCTCAGGTTCTGCTTGCAAACTTTCCATGGGTGCATCTGGTTGGCCTCTGTGAGAACAGAGTGCTGGACTAGGTGGGTCTTTGGCCTGATCCAGCAGCCTCTTCTGATGTCCTTACTCCAGTCCCAGAAGGGCAAGTGAACTTCTGTACTGGGCTACTCACTCTGCAAACAGCTGTGCTTCCCTCTCTCCCTTGCACAAGGTAGCGACTGGTCTCTGAAACTTTGAGAGGAACTGGACTGAACAGGAGGAAGTTGCTGAGTTGCCTAATAGAGGGAGCAGAGAGAGGCTTGGTTTGCTGACGGCAGGGATTTTGTTGTTGTTGCTTTTTGGTAGTATGCAGCTGGACCCAAACTGTGGAATCGGGAAAAGAATTGTGCAGCTGGGAAGCTGATAACATGCAGCTGGTAAAATGCAGGACAGGACTTGACATGTGTGTTTGTTGAGCACTTGAATGACTGGCACTGCCAGGGACAGCTTGCACACAAATTATAGCAAGGTAGAAGGCACTCGGTTGTATTCTCATCATTTCACAGTTGGCTTTTATTTGTTTGTGAGCTGCCTCCAAGCTGCTGAAATGAAAGGCGGTTGTAACAGATACCATATTTTTTGCTCTTTAAGACGCACCAGACCATAAGACGCACCTAGTTATTGGAAGAGGAAAACAAGAAGAAAAAAAATATTCCGAATTGATGCCTTATGAGGAACGGCTAAGGGAGCTGGGCATGTTTAGCCTGGAGAAGAGGAGGTTAAGGGGTGATATGATAGCCATGTTCAAATATATAAAAGGATGTCATATAGAGGAGGGAGAAAGGTTGTTTTCTGCTGCTCCAGAGAAGCGGACACGGAGCAATGGATCCAAACTACAAGAAAGAAGATTCCACCTAAACATTAGGAAGAACTTCCTGACAGTAAGAGCTGTTTGACAGTGGAATTTGCTGCCAAGGAGTGTGGTGGAGTCTCCTTCTTTGGAGGTCTTTAAGCAGAGGCTTGACAACCATATGTCAGGAGTGCTCTGATGGTGTTTCCTGCTTGGCAGGGGGTTGGACTCGATGGCCCTTGTGGTCTCTTCCAACTCTATGATTCTATGAATCCCAGAAGCCAGGACAGCAAGCGGGATCGCTGCGCAGCAATCCCGCTTGCTGTCCTGGCTTATGGGATAGTCGCGCACAGCCTCTCCCGGGCAAGGGGAACCTTCATCCCCTGCCCAGGAGAGGCTGTGTGTGGCTAAGGCCAAGGGCAGCCCTTCTCCCTCCTTAGGGAAAAGCCACGAAGAGCCGCACACACGCTCCACGCGGCTCTTTAAAGGGAGTGCTGAGCAGAGCCTCCCGCCTGCATTCGCTCCATAAGAAGCACACACATTCTCCCTTACTTTTTAGGAGGGGGAAAGTACGTCTTATAGGGCGAAAAATACCGTAGATTGATGAAGATGTCGCCCCAGTGTGTGGCATCTGTGGAAAAGGCGAGCGCCATACAAAGGATCATTAGGAAAGGAATTGAAAATTGGACTGCCAACATCACCCTGCCGTTATACCAGTCTATGATTCAGCCGCACTTAGTCTATGATTCAGGTCACCTCCGAAAGGAGATTGTAGAGTTGGAAAAGGTTCGGAAAAGGGCCACCAAGATGATCCAGGGGAGACAGCAGCTCCCCTGTCAGGAAAAGTTGCAGCGCCTGGGACTTCTTAGGTTAGAGAAAAGGGGAGTCAGTGGCAACATGACAGAAGTTTATACCATTGTGAAGAATTTTATAATTGAAGAAGAATGGACTACTTAAAAAAAAAACATTATAGTCAAATGAAATCGCAGGCAGGATTTGAGGCAGAAGCGGAAAATGGTAAAATGTTGGTAAATAGAGAAACTTTTTTTCTGACAGATAAAGACATAATGCAGTAGAAAAGATTTGAGTACAAACACTGCGGAGGTGGGAGTGGGAAGTCAATTTATGAAACAATGCAATTATTTGAGATGAGGATGATTGTGAAAATGTTTGGAAAATCTAATAAAAAATTATACCACAAAAAAGGAAGTGGGGGGGGGGCAGAGTCTCCAGCCAGCTGCTGCCCCCGAAGCGTCCGTGGTTGGTTTTCCTCCAGCCCTGCACCATCTCTTGGTTCTCAGCCATAACCCACCATAAAACCTTTCTGTTTCAGCCCTTCCCGGCCCCTCGCGAACATGAATGATGCCATGGTGACCCACATGTCCTCCGGAGCCCCGACTCCAACGAAAAGGTAGGGATGTGCACTCCGTTTGTGAGGGGTGGGAGATGGGGGGCTCCTCCTCTGGGGGCGCTGCTGAGAGAAGGTGGCTGATGAAGGAGCGGAGATGGCAGCCCCTGCTCTGAGCCTTCTGGATATTGCTAAAACCAGGTTTGATTCCTGATGGTGTCTCTGCGGCTTGAGGTCCCCCCCCCCAGTACATCTGAGCCATTTCTCTCCACCTGGAGGAGGCACTGGGGTTCCCTGTCGGCTGGGACCAGCCCTTCTCTCTCCCCCCACCCAAAACACCACTCTTCAGGTCTGACTTCCTCCCCCCACCCCCATGACCTGCTGTGCAGAACCTGAAACAAGTTCATTTCCCAAATGTCAGGAGGCAACTGAGGAGGATAAAACCACAACTGACGTCTGGAGAGATCTGATTTGGCGTTTCCCATTGACTCTCTGAAGAGCTTCCCTCCTTTCTTAGGCAAAGATGAATTGGAGTCGTCTTTTTAAGTTCCTTCCGCTTGTTTTTTAACCATTAGTATGGTTTTGTCTCCTGCATGTAAAGGCTTTGTTTGTTTTGATCTTGTCCCTTAAGTGAGTTTAATGTACAGTCATAGCTCGGGTTGAAGTAGCTTGGGGATGAGTATTTTCGGGTTGCGTCCCGCGGCGACCCAGAAGTAACTGAGTGCATTACTTTCGGGTTTCGCTGCTCGCGCATGCGCGGACGCTCGAAATGACGTCACACGCATGCGCGGAAGCGGCGATTCGCGACAGGTGCAGATGCAGGTTGCGTTCCCTTCAGGATGCAAACGGGGCTCCGGAATGGATCCGGCTTGCATCCAGAGGTACCACTGTAGAAGGATTATTCCGACCGGGATGAGCGGTGCTTGTCTCTTACCTGGCCCAGGGAGCTACCTTAGACTAAGCAGGGACCATTCTCCCATTGGGTTTGAGCTGGCTTTGAAGACTTCTAAAGGGCACAGTGGAAAGGAAAAGAAAGAGGGGAACCTACTGACCAGGCAACGTTCTCGAGTGGGCATTACAGTGGTGCCCCGCAAGACGAATGCCTCGCAAGACGAAAAACTCGCTAGACGAAAGGGTTTTCTGTTTTTTGAGTCGTTCCGCAAGACGAATTTCCCTATGGGCTTGCTTCGCAAGACGAAATGTCTTGCGAGTTCTTGCGAGTTTGTTTCCTTTTTCTTAAAGCCGCTAAGCCGTTAATAGCTGCTAAGCCGCTAATAGCCGTGCTTCGCAAGACGAAAAAAACCGCAAGACGAAGAGACTCGCGGAACGGATTAATTTCGTCTTGCGAGGCACCACTGTATCTGGAGCTCCAGGAAGGCGCTGGCTCTGGGAGTAACATCTCCATCTTCCACTGCTCCAGCTTCTCCTCCCTGCCTGGAGGAGGCGGCAGAGTCAGGAAGAGAAGGCGCAGGAGCAGCTGCAATTGGGCAACATCAGAGAGGGCACAACCCTGGCAGGCCCAAGCCAGAACTGGCCCTCAGCTAAGGCACACATCGTTTGGCGCTCTCAGAGGGCTCGCACGTGGCTGAAGAACATCAGGAAAGCCTGGCTGCTCTCCTCTCCTCTGGTTTCCAGCATCGCTGCCAAGCCTAGCCATTATGGCTAGTAGCCATGAGGAACCATTACCCTCCATGAATTCGCCCCATTCTCTTTCAAAGCCACCCAGGCGGGGTCGGAGGAAGCAAGAGGCACCTGTCCCTGCCAGAGCAGCCCTTGCTAAGCAGCTATGCCTTCAGCAGTCCTCCACCAACAACTTGCCCTGCCTGTGCCATGATCTGACGTCAGTTTTGCAGTTTTCACCTCCAGGGTTGAGGAACGAGAATGTTCTGTGAGAAGCACACACTTGAACATTCAAGCAGCTCCTGAGCTCTCTGTTTCGTGTAGGTTTCCTGCTGTCTCTTTCAGGATTCAGGTGGAGGAACGTGTTGGTGGAGCAAATTTCTTCTCCTTCTTCCTCTCTCCCGCTTGTTCCTCTGCAGCTGCCCCCTTCCCATATATCACAGGCTGCTTTTCTGACATTTCCAGACAAGAGGGTCTGGATTCTCCTTGCCTCTTCCCAATTGCACATTTTATTAGAAGCCTTGAAGCTCTGATGCCCACATGCCTCTGTCTCTTTTGATCTAGGCCAGAGGGAGGCCTGCTTGAGATATGCCGCCGTGTGAGCAAAGCACAGCCTCCTTCCAGAGACGCAACCTGAGTTGGGGTGGAGCTGGAGCCCACGGCCTCGTAAACGGGAGTCTAGCCAGACCATAACGCATCCAGCAGCTCGCTTTGTGTTTGCTCTGCCCGTAAAGTGATGTCACGGCGAGTGTTACAAGCCCTGGTTACGACCGTGTTGCCCCAGAGTGGGGGGCGCAAAGACAGGTCGTGGCCTTTTGTACTCTGGCACCGGAAAGCCGGTAGCAGAGCCTCAGGCATCCCTGAACTTACGAGAGAGGGAGAAACCATTTGGGCAAGGAGACTTAAAACAGTCTTGAGAAATGTAACACATGAAAATCAGACAGGATTTCTACCCACAAGGCAACTGAGGGATAATGTGAGCCCAGTGCTGAATGTTACTGGATATTTTGAAAAGCGTGGAGATAAACAGATAGCAGTGAGTTTCTTGAGATGCTGAAAAAGCCTTTCAACTGCCTTTCTCACAATCTGACCCACGAGTTCTAGTCTTATGAAAGAGGGAGAAACACTATTTCCATTTTCTCAATGCCATTCACAATTTTATTTACCTCTGCCATGCCCCCCCCCTTACTCACATTTTCTCTCTCCCCAAGAGCTCGCAAAGTTGTAATTTTTCCTCATGGGGTGGATGCTTCATTTCGCTTGGTCATTTTGGTTTTCCCTTTCTGAACCTTTAATTCAAGCCTCTTCGCTTGGGGGGGGGGGCACCGGCTTTTGGAATCTTGTGCCTCTGCCACCCTGAAGTTCATCAAGGGGGGGGAGTCATTGGCTTGCATTGTTTTTGTCCTTGCTTTTATTATGTATTTTTTATTTTTATGCTATGAACTGCCCTGAGATTTGCAGATGGAGTGTGGTATACAAATTGTAACAACAACAACAACACAGTGGTCACCTTGCCAACAAAGGTCCGTATAATTAAAGCCATGGTTTTCCCAGTAGTGATGTATGGAAGTGAGAGCTGGACCATAAAGAAGGCTGGTCGCCGAAGAATGGATGCTTTTGCATTATGGTGCTGGAGGAGACTCTTGAGAGACCCATGGACTGCAAGAAGATCCAACCTCTCCATTCTTAAGGAAATCAGCCCTGAGTGCTCCCTGGAAGGACAGATCCTGAAGCTGAGGCTCCAGTACTTTGGCCACCTCATGAGAAGAGAAGACTCCCTGGAAAAGACCCTGATGTTGGGAAAGATGGAGGGTACAAGGAGAAGGGGACGACAGAGGACGAGATGGTGGGACAGTGTTCTTGAAGCTACCAGCATGAGTTTGACCAAACTGGGGGAGGCAGATGGAAGACAGGAGGGCCTGGCGTGCTCTGGTCCAGGGGGTCATGAAGAGGCAGACACGACTAAACGACTCAACAACAACAAACTCGGGTTAAGTACTTAATTCGGACTGGAGGTCCGTTCTTAACCTGAAACTGTTCTTAACCTGAAGCACCACTTTAGCTAATGGGGCCTCCTGTTGCTGCCGGAGCACGATTTCTGTTCTCATCCTGAAGCAAAGTTCTTAACCCAAGGTACTATTTCTGGGTTAGCGGAGTCTGTAACCTGAAGCGTATGTAACCCGAGGTACCACTGTAATAATAATAATCATCATCATCAGGGTGAGACATGTCCACTAAGTTAAAACCCAGCCTGCTACTAAAAAAAGGCTCCCTGGACAAGTGAAAAGTCCTCCATCTGTTGCTGAAAAGGCATCAAAGTTTAGCGTCTGGGTGGGGAAGATGAAGAGCCACATGCCCCCTCGGCAAACATTCACCCAGCTCAGCAGCAGCCTTGCTCCCTGCAGGGGATCCCTCCTCCTCCTCCTCCTCCTCCTCTTTTGTCTTGCTCAAGATGGGCCCTTGCCTCCTGGAAGGTCCCCCATGAATCTTACAGGGAGGGGGGGCCTCCTTGTTTATGACTTTTCACTGCCGCTAAGCCCAGCTTTATGTCGAGGCCATAAAACTCTGCAAGCGGCGATTGAAGTCAGCTTGGAGGTGTAATGCCTTTAAAGCATGATGTGGGGTCAGAGGTGAGCCTTGTAAATAGTCTCATGCCATAAAAGTAATTGGGGAAAGGGAGGCGCTCCAAATCGGAGAACAGTCTTTGTGCACCGGGGAGAGAGGAGGCTGTGTTTAGAGCAGCCGGTTTGGTGCACCCCTGGAACAGCTGGAACTACAACTCCCATCACCCCTGAGCGTTGGCCATACCGTCTGGGGCTGATGGAAGCTGTCCTCCAGTGACATCTGTGGGGCACCAGGTTGGGAAAGCCTGGCTTAGAGCAGACAGAAGAAGAGCCTGCTGGATCAGGCCAGTGCCCCAGCTAGTCCATCATCCTGTGGACGACCAGGTGAGTCAATGGATTTGAGCACAGGAGCACCCTCTCCCCTCCTGTGGCTTCCAGCGCCTGGGATTCAGAAGCATTGCTGCCTCTGACAGGGGAGGGCAGAGCAGAGCCATCCTGGCTAGGAGCCATCCATATCCCTCCCCCTCCTCCTCCATGAAATTATCCAATCTCCTTTTAAAGCCGTCTAGGTTTAAAGCCATCTAAGGGACACTGGTTGCGCTGTGGGTTAAACCACTGAGCCTAGGGCTTGCCGATCAGAAGGTCGGCGGTTCGAATCCCCGCAGCAGGGTGAGCTCCTGTTGCTCTGTCCCTGCTCCTGCCAACCTAGCAGTTCGAAAGCACGTCAAAGTGCAAGTAGATAAATAGGTACCACTCCGGCGGGAAGGTAAACGGCGTTTCCGTGCACTGCTCTGGTTTGCCAGAAGCTTAGACATGCTGGCCACATGACCCAGAAAAACTTTCTGTGGACAAACGTTGGCTCCCTCGGCCAGTAAAGTGAGATGAGCGCCGCAACCCCAGAGTCGTCCACGACTGGACCTAACAGTCAGGGGTCCCTTTACCTTTAAATTGGTAGCCTCCTGTGGGCTGTGCAGTGCATGAAGAAGGACGTCAATGCAAGAAGACTCTTGAGAGTCCCATGGACTGCAAGAAGATCCAACCTCTCCATTCTGAAGGAAATCAGCCCTGAGTGCTCACTGGAAGGACAGATCCTGAAGCTGAGGCTCCAAGACTTTGGCCACCTCATGAGAAGAGAAGACTCCCTGGAAAAGACCCTGATGTTGGGAAAGATGGAGGGCACACGGAGAAGGGGACGACAGAGGACGAGATGGTGGGACAGTGTTCTCAAGGCTACCAGCATGAGTTTGACCAAACTGCGGGAGGCAGTGGAAGACAGGAGGGCCTGGCATGCTCTGGTCCAGGGGGTCACGAAGAGGCGGACACGACTAAAGGACTAAACAACAACAACAGGGGACGGAAGGAGTGAGGAGCTGCTGCTTGAAAGATGAAAAGTGTCAAGGGGCATGTCTTTGCCGGAGCTGGGAGAGGTGGAAGCAAGCAAATCTTGTTTCCACCTTGTGGCAGAGAAGCAAAGGCCTCTCCATTTGTGCTCTGGGTCCGGCCCAAGTGGCCCCTGGAAGCAGAATGCCGATGGGGGCTGCTCCTGGGTCTCTCCTCATTATGGCACCATTTGCTCCAAGGGGGGCGGGGAGAGCTCCTTAGGCACACCTGGGGCAGTGTTTGCATTTTGGGACTCCTCAAGTGCTGCCTCCTCCTCCCTCCTTGCACAAGAGTCTCATTTTGCAGAAACGCGGCTGCTCTTTGCCTGCAGGTGCCAGGTGATGCCGATCAGAAGGCCGGCGGTTTGAATCCCCACGACGGGGTGAGCTCCCGTTGCTCAGTCCCTGCTCCTGCCAACCTAGCAGTTCGAAAGCACGTCAAAGTGCAAGTAGATAAATAGGTACCACTCCGGTGGGAAGGTAAACAGCGTTTCTGTGCGCTGCTCTGGTTTGCCAGAAGTGGCTTAGTCCTGCTGGCCACATGACCCGGAAGCTGTACGCCGGCTCCCTCGGCCAATAAAGCGAGATGAGCGCCGCAACCCCAGAGTTGGCCACGACTGGACCTAATGGTCAGGGGTCCTCTTTACCTTTACCTTTACCAGGTGATGTGGGCAGCTTTGGGGTGGGGGAAGAAATACGGGAAAATCCAACTCTTTCTCCTTGCCACCGTGATTCCACACTCTTTCCAATGAGGTTCCTGCACATTTCCTTCCATGTTTTGAATGTTTTTAAGTTTCCTTATTTTAATTGTTGCTTGCCATCATTTGCATTTTCCCGAATGCCCTCATCTTTTTATTTCTGTCATGTTGTTTTGCCTCCTTTGCTCCCCTCCCCCAGGTTGCACTACAGCCCGGCCCCCTCCAAGCGGCTTAGGGATGAGCATGCCCTGATCGCAGCCTATGTGAGCCAGCTCCAGAGCGGTGCACGGTCAGTCTTAGGAGAGGGGGGAGGGCAGGGGGAGCCCATGAACATGGCAGTCCCATGTGCAGCTGTGCCCAAAGCCCTGAGTAGCCAGCTGGACCACTACAGAAACTGAAACTTGCACATGGAGAAAGGCCATGAGGCTGCAGCACTCAGTGCCGCAAAGGGTGTGCATGCATGCATTGGATCTGGGCGCATGGCTCAAAGAGGGTTAGTTTTTAAAACCGCATTCTTTGTAAGCAACTTAATGAAAAAAGCTTCTAAATGCTGTTTGAGAGTCCTGAGATATTGAGCAGTTCCGAATGAACCATCTGTAGCCCATGGTTCAAACATGTTTATTACGGGGCTCTCATTTTACGTACCTAAATTTGGTGAGGGGTTTCCTCTGCGATAATGGCTATTTCACCTTGATGCATGGTTTCAAAATGAGGAAGCAGCCTTGTTTTGGGGGTGGAGGGGGCCATGATGGTATTTGTAAAACATGCAGCCTGGCTGCGCTGTGGGTTAAACCACAGAGCCTAGGACTTGCTGATCAGAAGGTCGGCGGTTCGAATCCCTGTGACGGGGTGAGCTCCCGTTGCTCAGTCCCTGCTGCTGCCAACTTAGTAGTTCGAAAGCACATCAAAGTGCAATAGATAAATAGGTACCACTCCAGCGGGAAGGTAAACGGCATTTCCATGTGCTGCTGTGGTTCGCCAGAAGCGGCTTACTCATGCTGGCCACATGACCTGGAAGCTGTATGCCGGCTCCCTCGGCCAGTAAAGCGAGATGAGTGCCACAACCCCAGAGTCGGCCACGACTGGACCTAATGGTCAGGGGTCCCTTCACCTTTACCTTAAGAGCACAGAAGCAGCAGCAAAATTCAGCTAAGCAGCAGCAGCAAGGCTGTTTCGTCCTTTTGAGTTTCAGAAACAACCTCCTTTCATCTGCTTCGAAGTTGGTGCCCCAGGAGCGCAGCACATGGGTGCATGAGGCTCTGGTTTGCAAAATGCGGGCTCACCATTGTGTGCAGAAATGCACACCCTCCCTGACCTAGCGAGCAGCATTTTCACAAAAGAAAGCCCAACGGAAATGGAATACACACCATCACTTGCTCACCCCGCACCTTCTCACACACAGCCCAGCAGCCAGGGGACGTCTTTCCCAGAGGAATTAGGGGGATGCCACCTCCCAGGGCATCTTCACCCTAAACTGAAATCGGGACCCAATTGTGTTTAAGATGGATCTTCCGTTGGGTTCACTTCCTCTAGGCAGGACATTTGGTTGTCACGTCATTTTAAACAGGGCAATTTTCCTTCCTTTTTATTTTTACACACAGGAAACCATCCCAAATGACTCAGCCACTCCGCTGGTTGGTGCTGGGTCCAATCACTTTTAGGTTGCCACAGCTGAAGCCCCTTCAGATTTATAGCCTGAGTTCTCAGTACAATCCCTTTATCCCATTTCTTGTTCTGAAACATAAGACTCCCATTGTCCAATTCCTCTTTCAAGTTGGTACCAGCCGTATATTCCTGAGGCCTTTTGCAGACTCCAGCCGGCTCCCTGTTCCCCAGTTTGCTCTGGCCATTTTGTCATCTTCGTAGCGCATCAGATTTGCAAAGCGCTTGGCAGCTTGCCCTTGCAAAACAAACAAACCTGTGTTAAAACCAGTTAAGACAAACACAAGCAGTAAAAGTTTAATAACCCATCAGAGATTCTTCCAGATCCCGCATCACTAAAAAGAGGCCCCAAAGGCCCCAGACATTCCGCCTGCTGCCAGGGCAGGGCCACCACCAAAAAGGCCTGCCCTCATTTGCCACCCTCTGGACCTCCACGAAGAAGGGCCTCAGTTGACGACCGAAGGGTCCGGCTTGGTTCACATGGGGAGAGGTGGCCTGGAGCTTTTTGGGGTTCTAAGCCACATAAGGCTTAGACAGATAGATAGATAATTTATTATGGTCAAAGACCAGCTTGCAATAAAAACCGTGTTCATAAAGATAAAATATACAATCAGAGCAGACCGTAGCAATAGCTCATGAGTTAAAATTGAGATATATACATACACCCGTACAACTGAGATTTGGGCTACCATACAAATTGACCCTGAGGCACCCCAAAGGGCGACTTCAGCATTTCCCTAGTAAGCTATTTTATTCCAGAGGATGATCTGCGCCTACAAATCTGGGCAACTGATAGGTCAAAACCAAAACGTTGACTTGGTAAGGTGGGAGGGCCCTGACTCCTGTCTGGTGTTGGGCAACTGCTGGCTTCCTTGCCTGACTGGCGCTCATGCTTGTTGGCTTTCTCCTCCCGCCCCCAGCAGCGTCCTGGACAGCCCCAGCAGGCTGGACGAGGAGCACCGACTCATCGCCCGCTACGCTGCCAGGCTAGCTGCGGAAGCTGGAAACGTGGTAAGCAGCCAGTCTGGTCCCCCCTCTCTCGCTAACGGTTTCTCCTGTGGCTGTGGTATGCCCAGCTGCTGCTTCCCTGGGCAGGTGAGCTGGCAGCGCTCGGCTTCTTTCTAAACATGCTGCAGCAATTTGGGAGGAGCATTTTGCGCCGCTGAGTCTGTGTCCCTCCGGTCCATTTCGTCATGTTGCACCACAGGCGTGGCGCTCAGATTGGGAGTCACATAATTAGTTGGATGCCAGGCTGGAGCCATGCGGGTCCAGTGTCCCCAGAGAGTCCGCATATTGGAGCAAAGAAAACCTTGTACGCTTGCTTGCTTACGCTTCGCAGCGTTTTCATGCTGCCCATTAAGAATAGGTTCTCTGGGTGGTGTACAACTTTTCTGTTAAAAAACAAAACAAAAAGCCACACCATAAACTATCAAAATGCAGAACATAAAAAGGTTAAGTCAGCATCAAAATTAAATCGACAGCGGACAACAGTAGCGCCCCCGGTCCACAAAGCACTGAATCGTGTTTTTAAAAAGCCTGGTGAAGTTTCTAAAAAGGTTGGAACTGGAAGGACCACAACACAGGCCCCGGGTGAGCCTCTCTGGGGAGGGCATTTCGTAACTAGGGTGCCACCACTGAAAAGACCATCTCCTTAGTAGCAACTCCCGTAAGAACCCGAGAAGAGCCAGCTGGATCAATCCATCTGGTTGGCCGCAGAGAGGGCAGAATGCTGGACTACAAGGTCCAAAGGCCTGATCCAGAAGGCTCTTCTTATGTTTCTAATGGAGGATCTGCCCCTGGGGACAAAGCACTAGCTCAGTCAGTAGAGCACGAGACTCTTTATCACAGGGTTCTGGGTTCAAGCCCCACGTTGGGCAAATAATAATGATACTAATTTTATCATTTATACCCTGCCCATCTGGCTGGGTTTCCCCAGCCACTCTGGGCAGCCCCCAGCAGAACACTAAAAACAGAATAAAAGCTCAAACATCAAAAACTTCCCTAAACAGATTCCTGCATTGCAGGGGGTTGGACTAGATGACCTTTGGGGTCCCTTCCAACTCTACGATTAAACGACAACCTGATCTGATTTCCTTCCCTGTCTTTACCACCATCTCCCCAGCGCTGTTGGTGACGGGGAGGGGGCTGCTCGCGTGGGTTTCAGGGCTGGGTCCTCGTTGAGCCGTGTCTGTCTTTGGGGTCTCTTGACAGCCACGCCCACCCACAGACCTGGGGTTCAACTTCGATGCCAACAAGCAGCAGCGGCAGCTGATAGCAGAGCTGGAGAACAAGAACAGGTGAGGGGACTCGGGTGGCGTGGAGGAGGGGTGGCAGTCTGGCCTTAACGGCTTCCTGAGCAAGATATCTTCTCCCTTCCACACTTTCCATTGCTGCTGCCTCCCGGTGGGAGTTCTGTGGGCGGATGCTTTGACAAGGGGACAGCCCCACTAGGCAGCTGGAGGATTTTGCAGTCCTTACGCTCCATCAGCTCAATAAAATATTTCATTTTTTATTTTTGCATAAGAAAGTTGGGGTGGAGAAAAATGAAGGCTTGGCGTTTTAAAGGGGCGTGCAAAATATGAATGCCATGGCATGGCAAAGAGAGGGGGGGGAAGAGTCTGGACAAGGTCCCCTCTGTGCCAGACTCTGGAAGAAGACGAGGATTGGACTGATTGACCCCTGGGACCTCTTAATAATAATAATAATAATAATAATAATAATAATAATAATAAATTTTATTTATACCCTGCCCTCCCCAGCCAAGACCGGGCTCAGGGCGGCTAACACCATATACAAAAACAATTGATTGAAATACAGCTTAAAAACCAAGATTAAAATACAACATTAAAACACTAAAATGCAGCCTCATTTCAGTGGAAACTCAATCAACTCTTCCAACTCTATAACTCTGTGAAATTGGAGGGCAGCCCATTCTGCCTCTCCACTGGCCTTGGGTCCACACCTGTGCAAAACTAAGCATGCCACAGGTGGGTCTCCCATAGCATATTCTTTTTCTAGGACGTATCTCTACCTGATGATACAAGCCCACCCAACAATAATTGGGTTGTGTGTGTGGATTGTGCTGCAGAATCCTGCTAGGCAGTCAGATTGCAGCCCAGCCAGGGCCAGAGTTCACTAACTCTACTGACATATTAAACCCTGCTTAAACTCCTTCCCTGGGAGTTTAGAAAGCAAGAGGGCTAATGCTGGTTTCTTTATTTTACTTGCACAGAGAGATTCTGCAAGAAATTCAGCGGCTGCGGCTGGAGCACGAACAGGCCTCTCAGCCGACACCAGAGAAAGCCCAGCAGAATCCGACGTTGCTGGCGGAACTGAGGCTATTGCGGTAAGAATGTAGGGGAGGGACAGGACCCCAGGAGGGAGGTTGCTTGCACAAGAGTACTTATTCACGCAGCAAGCAGTTCAGCTGTGGAACTCCCTCCCACAAGAGACAGGGACGGGTGGTCAGGGGGAAAACAATGCTGTCCAGGGTTGTAATGACTGCGGAGAGAATAACTGGGTGCACTCTTCCCACCTTGGATCAAATCTACGCTTCCAGGTGCCACAAGAAAGCTGCAGAGATAGCGCAGGATAGTGCGCACCCACGGAAATGATCTCTTTCAGCTTCTGCCTTCTGGAAGAAGGTAGAGGGTTATAAAGACTAGGACTAGCCGCCTGAGAAACAGTTTCTATCCAAATGCGATTTTGGTTTTAAACGCAGTGTAAGGTAGTCTCTAGGGATGCGGGTGGCGCTGTGGGTTAAACCACAGAGCCTAGGACTTGCCGATCAGAAGGTCGGCGGTTAAATCCCCGCGATGGGGTGAGCTCCCGTTGCTCGGTCCCTGCTCTTGCCAACCTAGCAGTTTGAAAGCACATCAAAGTGCAAGTAGATCAATAGGTACCGCTCCAGCGGGAAGGTAAATGGGGTTTCCGTGCGCTGCTCTGGTTCGCCAGAAGCGGCTTAGTCATGCTGGCCACATGACCCAGAAGCTGTACGCCGGCTCTCTTGGCCAATAAAGAGAGATGACCGCCGCAACCCCAGAGTCGGCCACGACTGCACCTAATGGTCAGGGGTCCCTTTACCTTTAAGGTAGTCTATATGGGAGTATATTGTATTCAATTATGGGGTCTCAGAGTTTTGGGGGGCAAACCAGGCTGGGATAGCTGGGATAGCAGGCTTGTTGGTTTTTGAATGTCTGGTGTAGATATTTTTTTTTCAATTTCATTGTTCTGTATGGGACAATGACAATAAAGATTATTGTATCATATCGATGGCTTGAAAAGAGGATTAGATGAATTCAAGGAGGAGGTGGAGGAAGAGAGGGCTATCTTATGTTCTTCTACTGCTGGCAGTTGGCCGTGGCAAGCAGACTGAACAGACGGCAGAGCTGTGCCCGTCTCTGATTCTGTGCCACCTTTACCCAAGGCAGAGGGCTTTTCTTCACCCTCACAACTGCCCTGCAAGGCAGGCAGCTGCATAAGTATTCTGCCCATGAAGATCGGGAAGGATAGGGGCCGTATTTGCAGGCTGCTTGACCTTCTTTGAATACCAGCGGAACTGCCTTTCTGGTGTAATAAACAAAAATCTGCCCTTATTCCCTTATGGGGGACACAAGAGCCCTTATAGAGTCCTTTATAGGTTCTTCATCAGTCGGAGAAAGTAACAGAGGCCAACCAGAGAATATTGAGAAGCAAAGCAGTTCATAAGCCTGATCTTTATTTGACTGTTGCAACAGGGTGCCCCCTTCACACACAGGAGAAGGACCCCGAACCCAGGTGTGTCCGCCCTTATATAGACATTTTAAATTGCCTGCCCTGGAGTCCAAGACCACCCCCAGAAACATCATCCATACATCACAGAAAAGGTGGTCTACAACAGAAATCTGAGTGCGTCTCGTCTGACAGGTTTACCTGTTAATGCTCACTTGATTGGATACCCTGGGGAGCCTGGCTGTCTTTTGTAATGATAAATACTTAGTTCCTGTGCCAGGTCACAGGCTCACCCTATTCATACACAGACATACCCTTAAGACAGGATTTGTGAAGGAAAAGACAATGGGGAGGCTTTTCCATTTTCCTTTGACTTTGCAGAGAAAACATTTGGTCAGTTTGGGAGCCAAAATGGCTTCATGGCTGTTTTCCTGTGCTGCTTCAGATATGTGGTTTATATATTTATGTACGTGTTTGCTTGGTACATTTATGAACATTTATTATATATCTAAGACTTTATTTTTTTTTATTTCACTGGCAAACTGGCCGCTTCTCCTTCTTCAACCCAAACAGGCAAAGGAAGGATGAGCTGGAGCAGCGAATGTCCGCCCTCCAGGAGAGCCGGCGGGAGCTGATGGTGCAACTGGAAGGGCTTATGAAGCTGCTCAAGGTAAGGCCTGTTGACATCTCCTCCTCACCACCTGCCACATTGGCAGCTACCAGGCAGGCTGGGCATCAAACCTGTGAGAAGCCGTTTCTGTCCTGCCTTAGCCTGAGTCAGACCATCCTTTTCAACTGGCAGCACTGATCAGGGTTGGACCCAGGCCTTCCAGCACTCCAAGCGGGGGCTCTGCCTGCCCATAAGCTACAGCCCTGGCCCTTGCCCTGGGAGGAGCCACCTCCAGAGGGCTGTGTGCGAGATCCAGCCTGCTCTGGCATTCAGAAGCCCCTTCATACTTGGCCAACGGAGCCCCCAAGAGTCCTCGTCTCCCTCATTGTCTTTGGTCCCTTCCTGCAGAGAAGGCATTTGCCCGCAGCATCTTCCAGGTGGCGTGGGTCTTTAGAGGTCCTCTGGTCCAGGCATAGGCAAACTCGGCCCTCCAGATGTTTTGAGAATACAATTCCCATCATCCCTGACCACTGGTCCTGTTAGCTAGAGATGATGGGAGTTGTAGTCCCAAAACATCTGGAGGGCCGAGTTTGCCTATGCCTGCTCTAGTCCCACCCCCTAGGGCTCAATGCTGGAAATCCAGTGCTAGAAGCATCCTCTGTGCTCAGGTATCTGTCCAGCTTCTGCCTGAAGACCTCTAGCAGGGAGATCCCAGCCCCCAGCCCTGCCCCCGACTCGTTCCATTACTGCTTAGCCTTAGGAAGTCCCCCCCCCCAATGTTTAGCCCAGTAGGCCCAGCAGGAGGAGAAGTGAAAGAGTCTTTCCCCTCCTCCTGTGTGATGACAGCCTTTGGGGGGCTTAAAGGTGCTGTGCTGTGTTGGGGTGTGGATAGATGCCAAGAGAGGATATATTTATTAGATATTATCCTTCCTTCCTCACGCTTGTGAGTTCAGCGGAGTGCATCCCTTTGCAGCTTAACAGGGAAGCTTTGGTAGACTAGTTTTAGCCTTTTCATTTAAGGATTCCAGGGTGCTTTAAGGCAGCCTGGATTTTCCTGGTATTTCCCCCTTAGAACAATAACCGCGCAGTCTTGTAGAAGGTAAAAATAACATTTACTCACTCAGAATACCTGTCAAAGAGTAACCAAATACAGCAGCTTTGTTCAGGCAGGCTCAAAATAGTAATTCATTTACAAGGACATACGTAAATCTAGTTTAAGTCTGAGCATGGAGCTCAGATGGGCAGGTGTTCTCACATTGCTGGCAGAGAGGGAAGAGGAAGAGGTGAGAGGCAGTGTGCCCAGGCAGGTAAGAGAAAATACATGGCTATGGCCTCTCCTTGTCAGGGCACAGGGGGCGTTCTCTCACAGACAAGCTCACAGGAATACGCGGAGCTTCAGCTCCCATCATGTGCCTATCTAACAAAGCAGGAATTGTTTGTTTGCCTATGTGTTAAATATCCCACATCCTGTCCCCTGCTCAGTCCTCTGAGTGCTCCCCGATCCTTCAGCCCTTCCTCACGTGTCTTCTTTCCCACCCATGTTTCCTGCATGCAGAGCCCAGACCTCACTCCCTGCCCTTCCCTCTCTCTCGCTGGGCCATGGGCACCTAGACTCAGCCTGTCGCATCCCTGGGAGGGAAGCCAGAGGCAGCCCTGATGGTCTCACACAGCGCAAGGCAGCGGCTCCTGCCCTCCTGCATCCCTTCCCTGTGTCCTCCTCCTCCTCCTCCTCCTCCTCCTCCTCCCTTGGTGTCCTTGAGTGTCAGCAGACGTGGGGGTTCCTCTTGGGGATCCCTGCCTGTGCCTGTTCCCCCTGTCCCGATAATGATTAACTGTCCTCTCTCTTTCTCTCACACCTTTGCTTACTGCCAACCTTTATAGGAAGAGGAGCAGAAGCAGGCAGTAAGTTGATACCCATGAATCTTTTCTTCCCTTTGGCTCTGCATGAAATGATTCTGTGCGGCACTTTCTCATCCTGGTGGGGTTTGGGTGCCCAGGAGAGCCACCTTTGGGTGCCCAGTGCAGGATGAGGGTGGTCCTGTATCCTGCAGAGTGTGGGCTTATTAACCCTTGGCACACCGGCTTAATTTCTCAGTGTATTTCCCAAAACGAAAGACTAACAAGCCAGTCCCAGTTTAATTTGTGTGCGCGTGGGCTTAATGAAATGTGCATGGTTGACAAGACATGGAAATGCAGAGGTCCTCCCATGTTGCTCTGGTTGCTTTTTCTGCCCTAAGGCACCTGATTGTCTCCTATCTTTGGGAAATCCTTGCATTCTCCTTCCTGGCCACGCGCACGAGTCCCCGCATGGAAACAGGCAGCCCTGTCTGGCCCGGCATCCTGCTGCTGCCTTGACAAACCTGGCTCAGCAAAGCTTTTTCTTCCGGGGTGGGGTGGGGGGCTTCTCCTCCAAGAGACCTCCTGTCCTGATTTGCTTGATGTGCAGGGTTTATGCAGAGGTCCAGAGATGATGCAATATTCCGATTGGTTTTGCGTGGAGGTTGCATGACAAGGAGTGTCTGTCCTGGTCTGCTTGTGTGGGTGGAGACTGTATGTCCTCTTGGGCTTGCTGATCATAAGGTCGGCGATTTGAATCCCTGTGATGGAGTGAGCTCCTGTTGCTCTGTCCCAGCTCCTAGCAGTTCGAAAGCACACCAGTGCAAGTAGATAAAGAGGTACCGCTGCGGCAGGAAGGTAAATGGCATTTCCATGTGCTCTGGTTTCCGTCACAGTGTCCCATTGCACCAGAAGCGGTTTAGTCCTGCTGGCTACATGACCCGGAAAGCTGTCTGTGGGCAAATGCCTGTTCCCTCTGCCTGAAAGCAAGATGAACGCCGCAACCCCACAGTCGCCTTTGACTGGACTTAACCGTCCAGGGGTCCTTTACCTTTTTTTTTACCTTCTCTGTCACTTGCTTATCTGACACTTATTGGTGCAGATGGGTGCCAACCAACCATTTGGGCATTTCCCCATCACTTTCCTAACTGCAAAAAATACTTTTTTTAAAAAAGTAGACTCGTTGCACCAGAGTGGTCTAATCCACATTAATTGCATAGACCTTAACTTCCAGTATGCAGCTGACCGTCTCAGCTGACCGTCTGCAGGAGACGGTCCCTCCCCACCTTATTCCTGCCTGGCAATTAACTCCGAATCCCCTGCAGAGGGAGCCATCCTTCTTTCCTAAGCAAGCAGCCTTTGGAGCTGCTGCAGCAGGATGGAAGCCAGCTGATGGAAGCGCCAAACCTCTGGCCTGCTGGGGCTTCCCTTGGGGATTTGCACATCTGCAGTGTTGTGCAGGTCCCCCACAGACTGGGTTTGGGGAAGGAGAAGCACGTTTTCTACGTCTGTTGCAAAAATCTCCATAAGTGGTGCAAAGAGGGTGCCTGGAAGCCAAGAATGAACCCTTTCCTGCCTTGTTGAAGCCAGGCTGACCTCCTGCTTCAAATGCGCAGAGCCTCCTGATGACTTCACAGTTCCAATCTATCGTAGTTTCTGGTGAGCGTTCACATCTGTCGAGTGCTTCCCCTTTTCATGACACCTTAATGATGTTTTAGGGGCTACTTCTGGGTTCAACGCCGTGCGCATGTACGCAATCTCATGTCGTTCAGATGCGCCTAAATCAGCAGTTGCCTGTATTTATTGTGAAAGATGGCGCAGCTGCTTCTACAGCACCGGATCCCGACGCACATCAATGTAGCATCTAGGCAGCTATGCCCAGATCCGCTCTCTGTGGAGCCGTTGCCACAACTGGGGACCACTCTCCCCTCCACCAGTTCATGTACCTTCCCCTGACGGGCTGCGCATATACAGCCAGAGACTGCGCCTGTGTGGAATCTTCCTCTGCTCTTCCCACTTCAGTCGCCTCCTGGTTCTGGGAGACGGGATGCAGGAGAGGGTGAGGAAGACCCTGGCCCTGCACTTGCCTCTTCCTCCTTTTCTTCCAACCCCTCCTGTGCGCCACCCTCCAGCTCTGAAGCTTCCCCTTGCCTCCTGGCCGCCACAGGTCCCCACAAACCACTGCCCCCCTCTCCCAACTCCAGTCCACACTCATCAACCTCTTGCCAGCCCCTGACAACACCTTTTGAGCAAACGGGAAGTGGCCATTTTGGTGTGTCTTACTTGGCATGAGGGGGATGCGAGTGGCGCTGTGGGTTAAACTGCAGAGCCTAGGACTTCCGATCAGAAGGTCGGCGGTTTGAATCCCCACGACGGACTGAGCCCCCGTTGCTCGGTCCCTGCTCCTGCCCACCTAGCAGTTCGAAAGCACATCAAAGTGCAAGTAGATAAATAGGTACCGCTCCGGTGGGAAGGTAAACGGCGTTTCCGTGCGCTGCTCTGGTTCGCCAGAAGTGGCTTAGTCATGCTGGCCACATGACCCGGAAGCTGTACGCCGGCTCCCTCGGCCAGTAAAGCGAGATGAGCGCCGCAACCCCAGAGTCGGCCACGACTGGACCTAATGGTCAGGGGCCCCTTTACCTTTACTTGGCATGGAAGGAGCACAGGGGAGAGACCTGCCCTGCCCCCTTTGGCAGTTCCTTCCCAGGCCCCCCGCAAAGCCACTTCCCCAAACCACTTGCACTTCCCTGCTATTCTGGTGGGAACAACCACCTGTCCACCTGCAAGGCAAAGCAAACTTTGCCTTTGGTCAGATTGCAAAGAGGCTCTTGCCCATGTGACTGCTGGCTACTGACCTTTGCAACCGTGGCCGGGCTGTCTGGCTGCTATCAAGCAGCCACCAACGAGAATTGTCTCTCCTGCTTATCATCACAAATAGCCCCCGGGGTGGAGAGAATAGAGCCCCCAAGGCTTGCACACCCTCGGCACCTGGGTCTCATAAAAAGCTTCGGAGTTAAATATTGACACGTTTCACTCCAGAATGTGGAAGAATGGGCTGTGCCTTTCAAGTGAGCTGCCTGCAGACTTTTGAAACTCCCATTTCTGTCTCCTGGGGAGGGCCCAGGCACCAGGCTAAGCCCCAATGTGTTCCCATGGCAGCCTGGCTTGCAGGGGTGGGGTGTCCCCAGGTCTAGCTGTGGGAGGAGAGGCTCCCCATAGAACTTCAGGTGGGTTTATTTTGAGATCCCTGTATTTCAGAAGGGTTGGACTAGATTACTCAGGGTCCCTCCCAACCCTTGCTGGGAAAGGGAGTTAAATGGTGGATTGTATGTTGTATGTGATGTAAAGGTGCTAGGCAGGTAGAAGGAGAGAGAGAGAGAGAGAATGTTTGCGGGCACATGCGCTAAACCCTGTCTGTGGTGCCTACCCCCTTTCCGCAAATGATGACACAAGAGACCAGAGTATGGGTTCAAATTGGCCACAACTTTATTGAATTTCAGAAGTGGGAAACTTGGCACAGGCCTTGGCAGGTAACCCTCTCAGCCCACCTGGCTGAGGATATGCAGGCAGTTGAGGCCCAGTGAGAGGGGACTGCAAAGCGCAAACTGACACAGCATGCCTGTCCACTGACCTCGTCCGGGGAGTTTGACCTACATGCCGCCGCTCTAGGGCCAGGGACTCCCGGTTTGCCCTTTAACGGGCCCTGCAAGCGCCGCCGCATGGGGAGGGAGCATGAATGCATCCCCCCCAACTTGATGTTAGACTAAAGGCTACCTTGCCAAGGCCTAAAACCGCCACTCGAGGCCCTAAGGGGCCTCGCCGCCAAGTCCCACAACCGAAGACCAATTAAACCCCGCAATCTATCCAGTCCCCAAGGGCTCGTCGCAAGTCATGGAGCCAGAAGTCATTGCTCAGCGGGGTCAGGTGCACCCCGTCCCCCCGGAATAGGTCAACTCTATCTGATGTGATGGTGGGATGTGGGATAGAGAACCCACCAATTTGGCGCATGGTGTTGCGCATGGCCCTGTTAATTTTACTCACCGCGTAATTGAGGCGAGAGGGATTGGAAGCCCCCCTCCAGTGAAGACGGGGTAGGAGATTGGACCAGCCGATGGTCATTGATGGGTACAAGGCATGCAGGCTTTTTAGATCTGACCTTGCAGCAAGGATAAGGGCAATGCAAGAGCAGCAAAAGAGGCTTGAGCTCAGGAGTCGGCCTCTTTTCCTTTGGCCTTAGGCCCACCCATGGCCGGCTGTCCATTGTCCTCCCTGGCCGGGGGCGGGTCAAAGGCCAGCTCAGGCAGGAGGGTGGCACCTGCCCAGGTGAGCCTCGCTTGGTGCCGCAAACCCTGCCCACCTGTGGGGAAGGGAGGGCGGATATTCTGCAAGCACCGAGTTAACAGTTTATTTTTCCAAACTAGATTTGGGAAAGAGGATCTGCTCCCACAGATCCATTTTTCCATGACATCATTGTGTAGAAGTACTCAATGCATTCTGAGTAGACTGCAATTTGCCACGTCCAGAGAAACCTGGAATCGTGGTTTGGATCAGCTCTCTGTCACAGGCCTGGAGGCGGAGTGTTCACCAAACTCATTCAGGGCACCGAGTCCACGGAAAAGTTGCCGCAGCCACATAAAGAGCAATTGATCCTGGGAATTGGCCCCGCTCGTCCTCCACGCCAGGAGCCCCCAGTTTCTCAGCAGAGCCTTTCCCCACCTCTCCTTTCTTCAGGGTTTGTGGCTGTTCCCTTTATCTCACCAGATGCCCCCACTTCCCCACTGGTGCCGCTTCTTGAAAAACCTTAGGAATAAGCCAGGCCTGGAGCCCAGGGTGCTTTTATCCTGGGAGCCATGAAGTTCTGCTGAGCCTCCATCCTGGCTTCCGAACTGTGGGAGGCCTTCCTGGGAAGCTCTGGGCATTGGGAACGAAGGAGGATCCCTCAGCACTGGTGCAGAGAAAGGTCTCTTGGGCTCAGCTGCTGAATCCCACGGGAGAGCCTGGGAGCCTGGGTGGGAAGCAAGGAAGCGTCACATGACCACTGCGGTGGGAGTCTTATCTGAAGACAA